TCAAGTGCCGATTGGTGATAATGATTATGAATGATCAAATGTCGTCATGATTAGAGCGTCGAGAGAAAGGTGTGCTGGGTGTCCTCAATTGAATCCGGCGTCTGCGTCAACTACCCGAGCACCCTCTCCTTCTCCGACGTCACCACGAACGCAAAGGCGAAAACAGCCGTTTTGATTTCTCGTCTTCGCCCTCTCCCAATCCTCGATAAATTTTATCCATTTTAATCTCACTGACCATCAACCATTGCGGTGACGTCCCAGCTAGCCTTACTTCCCAACCCTCTTCAACACCCTTATCCCCCCAATATATACGATCGTCAGCACCTTCTCCCCAATCATCGATCAGTTCTGTGAGTCTGTGCAGGTCGCCGTACGTAGCCGGTTGAGGACCCTTTGGATTCCGGTATGCGAGGTACGTAACGAAACCAGCAAGAAAGGCTGCGATACCTGTCAATGCAAAGAGGGGCAGTGGATGAAAAACAATTTTGCGAACTGCAGTGACTACGACGCTGAGGCCGAAAATCCAATGGCTTATCGGTTTCAGAGCCAACAGGACGAGAGTCTGCCATGATGTCAAGGCTCCTTTGATAGACCCGGCGCCTATCACCGTGCCTTTCTTCAGATTTGCCGCCTTTCTCCACGCGTCCTCGTCCCGGGAAATATTGATGACTAGTTCGGCCGTGTGGAGCGCCAGTGTGTACACCAGTTGTAGTACAGTGACGAAGAGCAGATACACGACGGGCTCCAAGCTCCATGCAAGGTTGCTTTTGATACCGCAACCTTGATAAGCTTCTGTAGTGTTCTGATAAGTTTCGATAGTGTCCTGATAAGTTTCGGTAGTATCATCTTGATCAGTCACGGTAGTGGTTCCGACTGTTACACAATCCACTAAAAAAGAAGCGCTAGGAACGAGGTGGAATGATCCATTAGTCGCGGACCCGGTGCCAAAGGATAGATCGTGATCCACTCCAATTTCCTCTTCATTCTGGCGCACGGTGAACCATGCTACTATCCCGCTGATAAGTATTATCGGGACAAGTGCCCAAAGGTAATAGACCACAAGTCGAACCTCGCGATAAAGAGCTCTCGCAGGAGGTTGGCGAGCGGAAGGGTAGCGGAAGGACGGCGTTGTCTCAGGCAATTCTTTCGCGTGAGACAACGCCAAAGCCGTGTTCAGCGGGTCTGAATTCCAGGTGATAATCTGTTTCCCATAAGGTTGGAGGACACACCATGTGGCCAGGATACATAGTCCTAGTAACGATCCACCGAGGGCAGTGAATGCAGGCGCGTTCAATCCGTGTGCATCTGACTTACAGTCCATTTCACCCTGTTCTGCGGAGATGATGCTCTGGGAAGCGGCGCTATAGGATAGTGTTAAGAGGAAAGCCCACAGAACATTGATATACCATCGGTTAGGCCGGCACTGAGATGAGCCCGTAAACAAACGGAGATTCGAGTTGAGATGAAGTCTCCCTTCATGATATAGAGCCCAGCGAAGAGACGCCGAATGAATAAACCCAAGGCACTCTGTCGTAGCTGTGACAGCGATATTTTCGACCAGTATAATAGTCTCCTTGAACCAGGTTGGCCAGCATGACATTAGAGCATTTGGATAGAATCTTAGATCTTGCATTTGAGCCTGCAATGGTGCATTCTTCCGATTTTTAAAATAGACGTACGCATATATACCGATGGTGAGGAACAGAAGTGACGCAAAATATGAAAGCGCGAGTCCAATTATACACCATCGACGGGTGTCCAGGGCTTTGTTGAACGGTAGCGATTTCTCAGTCGTGACTCATTCGTCGCCAAGAGATTCAGATGACCGATTATCTGCGGGAAGAGCCGCATGGTGTGGATCAATTCGTGAATCCGAACTTGAACATTCTTTTCGCAGTGCTGCTGTCGACCACGAGGTATCACGGCCATGGCAGGTTGGCGGAAGGCATGGGAAGGTAAGTGTTTCCGATGTCTTGATGATCGAGTACGACATAGCGATAAATGGAGACAGTAACCCTTGCAAACATCTCAGGAAGAGCAAAGCCCAGAGCCTCATATACCTAGAAGCTCATGCCCATGGCTTGGATGAAGCTGGGTCTGGCATGAATATATAACCGCCCCTGAGACCCTCACCAATCATCGTAGGCTATGTAGTTCCCATTGGTGCTACCTGAGGCGCAGGTGTGCGTACGCAATCACGGTGCACAGTGAATAGGGGCAGAATTTAACGAAACCGCCTCGTAATGAAAAGATAAGGCGCAGTTGTTGAATAACGTGCGGTGTCCAGAGAAATATGTCGTGCCGCGTCTAGGCGTCGCCCCCAGGGATAACGGTTGAAGGAAGAGGAGCAATTAGAGTTAATGCCCTTCGTCGCAAGCCGCTAGAGTATCTAATTAAACGGAAAGTCGAGAGGCGCAGATGAGAGTGACGTGGCTATCCCAGTCAAATTTCAATGTTGTTGTGCGGCACTATCAAACACATGATCTGTAGCAATCCATGCCCAGCAGGCCGCGATGCACGGAGTTGAAGTAAGAACTGAGGTTCTGCATGAAGAGCTGAGAGGTATGTGAGCTCAGGGAAATAGCAAATCAAGTGGCCACTTCCCATGAAGCCTAGCTCAAGAATATTCGTCCGCAAGCACTTCCAGAGACCATTTCTTTGAGTCGTCAGCTTGTAGACACACTCCTTCAGTGACGAAGAATCGACGTTGGAAACATTCAGCGCTCCAAAATACTTTCTGAGCCACAATGGGGGAATTCCTTGACGTGTTCTCCTCAGGCTGAAACAGGTGTTGCTGTGCGGCATACAATGCAGTGGGGGCTGGAATTGACTTGCGACATCTCAGGAATTTTAGAAGGTGATTGGCCTGAAGACTCGCACAAGTACGTGAATGATGAAGAGATGATGATGTCGGGATGGGGGTGAGAAGTAACACCATGAGCGGGTTGCCACGGTCGTGGCTTCCCACCCAAGATCGTTAAGTCTACTAGCCAAGGCCAGTCCCAGTCATGAGACCACACGTGACAAGACGGGACGGAATCACTGATTAGCAAATTCATAAGCGCGCAGGTATCTAGGCAAGCATGATTCATGCTAATCTAAAGTCTCCCGGGTATTCTTTATACGTACTAAAATCCCCCTACCTAATCCAAATGCTCCAATACAATATACAAGAAAGTCGGACCCGCAAACCGAGAACCGATGTGTCCTCTCAATCCTTTCGAGAGCCTAAATCAAAATCAGTCGTCGGCAGCTTTCCTAGAACCGAACGTGTAAGCGACGGAAAACTGAGACGGGCAATGCAAATGACAAGATCCCCATCCACTAAGCCTTGAGTCTCGTACCTGCGTAGTCCTCCTGTGCGTCTTTGATGAGGAAACTGTATTGCACATTAGTCTGCATTCCTACCAAATGTCTTTGCTGCAGGCTGAATAAGGCAAGGGGAGAACATACTTATACCACCAAATCGTCGGGCCCACAGTCCCCAAATGCCACAGACTATGCGCATCAATCATCCCTTTCCAAGGCGGGAAATCCAACAACTCCAGACTCATCGCCATGATCAGCCACGCAACAATCAAACCTGGCCACATCGCCCATGTGCGACCGACCTTCTTGTACTGCATATAGCTGAATCCGCTCCACAGCAAGTTCTGTAGAACCCCGACGGTGACGTTAGCAGCCATGTTGTAGGTATAATCCCAGGACCAGAGCGTGAGGTAGAGTACGTGGAGAGTGTAGAGGAGGATGCACAGCGCCGTCCAGAATCGGAGAACAGATTGCTTGACTGGAACCTTCCTATCAAGCCTAAAGATACGAATCGGCGCGAAGTACAATCCATACAAGACACTCGCTCCTGCCGCGAAGTAGTCCAACTTCTCTGTAATCGGGAAATCCCTTGTATGGAATATCATGCTGAAAATCCAACTCGCCAGGCCGAAGTATCCAAATAGTAGATAGTATTTCCGCAGGGCATATGAAGCGGGGATCTTGTCACGGAGCTGGCTCATCCCCCAGTCGTGCGCTAGATAGTTGAAGAGGGAGAAGATGACGCTGAAGGGCTCCTGCATGCCCAGGAAGCGGTAGAAGGGCCATTTCCCGTGGAATTGGTATACCGGTTGCATGTAGGGAGGGTCTCGTGCGAGTCGCTTGTCTGTCACGACATGTTGGCAGGTGTAATCGCATTCGGATGGGCAGTCCCAGAAGAGCAGGCGGCGGTGGAACGCTAGCAAACAATCAGTAAGGAGGAAACTTGTTAAGCTGAAAGGTGTGGTTTACGTATTGAAATAGGGTTCTCTCCGCAATTCGCCTCGATGCAGGCCTGGATAGCAAATTAATATTGCTTTCGAGCGCCTTTGGTAAGCTTGGGAGCTGAACGTACCTTTACGCATTGTTTGAAATCCGGCAATCTGTCACCGAGCGAAGCGTGAGCAACACCGCCGAGTAAGCATATTAATGCAGCTATCCGCCATGCTGAAGATGCCGTTAGTCTCATCGTTCTCACGGCGTACGAGTGTCGTGGCTGGGCTCCATGCGGTTGTCGTGTTGGGCAATTTAATTGCGGCGCGTCCACTCCTTCCGGATCGTCATCTTGGGTCTTGGCGTCCTCGGTAAATTAATTATCCCTACCAAGCCTCAATCTCAAACCTCAAAATTCATACAAGGCCTTCGCAACGCGTTTCTCATCAACCACAAACGGTTTTTCATGCCAAAAAAAACAGCAAAAATGGAGGGTAGATGGATGGTTTCCAGGCCTAGGATTAATCAATATGTGAATACACTTGAAGCCAGATCCAAAATGTAACTTTGTGGCTTTATGAGTAATTCTGGACATCTGACGGGGTATATTTCTAGTTGATCCAACAGGACCCATCGCGTGCATGCAGATGGCTGCGTTCTTGCCCATCCAAGAAGGGCGGGGCTCGGTCTTTATTCCATCATGTTGATAGAAAACTATATAAAGTGCTTAAGCCTCGAAACTGTTCATAAATCATAATAGGGGGCGTATAGCTCAGTGGTAGAGCGCCCGCTTTGCATGCGGGAGGTCTTGGGGTGAGTTTAATATTTCTCATTAGTATTCAGGTGATATTTACGTAAGCAGTTCGATCCCCAATTCGTCCATACATTTTTGCTCTTATGAGCAGTGGTGTCATTACTTTTTGTTTTTATTTTTATATTGGCACTAATTCGGCGGCATTCCGACTATTTGGGCATTTTCTATCCCTTTCGTAAGAGTGGGAGGGACACATGATGCATTTAGCATTAAACGAGTCGCAAGCAATCATCCATGCAGAGAACCACCAATGGCGAACACGGAGTAAGCCCGATCTAAGTTTCCTCCGCCCACACAAGCCAATTCAATTGTTCGTTTAAGACTTCGCGGGTACTGTCACATACTCCGAATATTTATTGAAGCTCAAATTTTGAAACCATGTCTCTTGGCACTCTCCTTCCATTCTGGACTGCCCGTACACCCCTAATTACTATTCGTACACACACACGTTCCCTCCTCTCACCTTTTTATGCTTTAGAATCCTCGATCTTAGCTAGTTTTTAATCTGCCTTTTGCGAACAATAGCTTAATCGAGAGCGCTTGAGCAGGGCTTTCTAATGAGGTCCTCTCAGCTAAATTTATCTACTCGTTGTGGAACTAAAGGGCCGGAAGTAAAGTTTCAAATATCACTGCGAACAGTAGCGTAAATTGTAGAGATACACACATAAAAACACAATCAAATTGGCTTACTTTTATTACCTACAGCTCCACAACACGCAGCTTAAATTCAGCCGTGATACCCTCACTTGAAAGCCCTGCTTAAGCGTTCTCGATTGAGCTATTGTTCGCGAAATTCGGATTGAAAACTAGCTAAGAAATCGCGTCTAGAAACGAGATATACGAATAGAGTTTCTAGGATGTATGTTTATCTCCTAGATCTAATATAATATAGGGAAATATTAAAGCAGGTGTATTCCTTCACGTTGGCAGGATTGCGATAATTCACGGGGCCAACTAGGTGGGATTCTTTATTTATGAAAGGAAGGAGATGGGCTGCGCACAGTTATTTGATATGTGGATTCCTACGAAATTTCGATGGTCTTGCTATTCAGTGAGCACCAAATCTTTATCTGCTCCCGTTCTTCTACGTCCGCTTTTATTCGAACTGCCGACTTTTCACATCCCTAGCCCCTTCTCTCCGCAAACATCCCTATAAAAATTCCATTCCTACGATCCCCATGCATATGCACAACGGATTCGCATCCCTGTCCCATGCTATTTCTATGATAATGACCGATGAGACCATACACACAACCCATACGTCGCTCCTTTTGTTTTACCACATAATACCATCCTACTTCCCGTCTTCGTAAGCTTCAATAATGACGAGCCCCTTTCCGCTGTCATTGCTCTCTTTCACATCCTCTCGTCTTCCACATCCTCGCTACCTCTTCTCCTAAACCCCCCCACTATCTACACTTTAAACTCTTCACCGTCTTGGTTTTTCTGTCGTGTCGCTCCAAAATGGAGCCCCGATCTTTAAGTATTAACAGCGGCCCCATCTTTCCCACCATTCACGGCGGTTGTTGCCTTTCTGTTGCCCTCCATATCATCCACAACGAAAGTTTTCTCTTCCTTTATGTCACTTCTCACATAATCCTCTCATTCTGCCACTCCCTCATCCAACTTGTCCTCTTCGTTTCCCGCTTCAAACCTTTTTCTTTCCTTTCCTCTTAACATCACCTTTCTTACACCCCTTGCAAGCCTGAGATCGAATTCTTACTTTCCCCCGTCCCCTATACTGCCAATTTCTTATGCGCAGCCGTGCACCCTGCGTCCTGTTCCGTTAGATGGTGTTTCCTAGATCCCCAGGGCTGCCAGCCTCTCGTTCACATTTCAAATGCTCGCAATGCGAATCGTATGGTCTACCACTGAGCTACTACGCCCAGTTCTCATGCAACCGACCTCAGCACCCTAACTTACTGATCCATTTTCACGTTCCAATGCTTTTGTCTTCGGCTTCGAGGCGCAGAAGTGCATATCCTACATCTCGGACACTTTCTTTGTGGAATCTGTATTATGATATTGTTCTGCTGCTGCAGAATGTACAATTGCAACCATGATGGCCGAATCTTGTCGTGACCAGAGATCGTATCTCTTAGAATAAATGTGGTGAGTGGGGAGCGAGCCTTGTGCTCCCGAGCTCTCGTAGGTTCTTCAGTAGTTGGCTGGGTGTCGTCTGTCTTGAGATATAAATAGCGTGCTGTTTGGGGGTGAGGATGGTGATGTCGGCGTTCGGACTTCCATCGCTGTCCCATGATCTGGTTTGGAGAGCTGGCATAATAGGAACAAGTAAATTGAGAAACAGATCAGAAATAAAGAGATGGAGGGTTTGGTATAGACATTTTCTTGATTAATTGGACTTGAAAGCCTGAGCAGACAGCTTTTTCGGGAGTGTACAGCTGGGAGGGCATGCGCAGAGTATGAGGGTAGGTCATGTTAAATCTTATGTATTTGATAGACTGATGATGTCAAGTCATCATATGAAAGATTTTTGATGAGATCGTCACGTTACAGTATCAAGAGGAGAAGCATATAAAGACAAGGAAACTATACTCGCGTTCGCTCGGAAGATCATTAACCACTTAATTCTTTGAAAACCCATGGGCAGAGTATAATGCCACCAACTCCATGCATGCATGAAGCTACCTTGCATCCGGCGACCGACCATTATGGGGAGGTTCGTAGGAGGGAAATTCAGAAAGCAAATAAAGAAATGTTGAGAGTTTCAAGAAAGTAATCCACTATCGCGAATCCCAACCATGAAAACCATCCGGCGTACAATTTTCATGGCCAAGCATCCAGCGCCTAAGTCTTCTCACGCTCATTCCCCTAATTTGCGCTTAAGCATCAATGTTTCATGGTCCTCACTTATACACACAGTGCATAACACCAAGACTTTGTTCCCGCCATCTCATCATCACATTCTACCTTACGCTCTGGGCCCGAGCCTCCCAAACACGCCGAGAAGTGTTGCCCACCTGTTGACATGAAGGAAGATGCTGATTCCAATATTTCCTATCATCGCATCATTATAATTTCCGAAATCCCAGAACATGCCTGGAGGCATGGCCTTATAGCTTGAGTACATATGTCCAAGGTCGCCCAGCGCAAAGAAGATGAGGTAGTATTTGGCGACGCGGGTTTCTCTTGAGATGACGAGGCAAAGAATGGCGACGGCGGCGAGGACGAAGAAGAGGTTGCCGACTGTGTAGCTGAGGCAGGCGGAGGCGGATGAAATCGGGGTGAGGGTGGGAGGGGTGGTGGGGACTTGTTTGGTGACGAAGGATTGGGGGTGGTTCCAGGCAGCGTTCCAGCCCATGATCCTGAGAATCGCTAGTCAGTTCCAGTTCACAGTGAGTAAGAAGATCGAGTGATTGAAGTGTAGGGATTGAGCTGCTGCAAAGCCATTGAGCGCAAGTCATTACATGGAGCTTGGAGCTTGGAGCTTCATGGCGGGCTCATTCAGCTTGGCTCGAGGCATCTCAGAGCAGGAACTGGCACCAATTATGACCACATGGCATTTAAAGTGCCCTTGAAGCTGTGTTTCACAGCATACGGCTTATGTATGACATGCGTGACGCGATGTGGTTGAGAGAAAAACTCACAGTGAGATGGGCTCAAGGTAAGCGAACAGTAGCGCCGGCCAAAACGGGAGAAGCGTGCCGAGAGCCATGATGTAGCGAGCTTCACTTGATAACCTTGAAGATAGAGATTGTTGTGTTTGAGAGGATGTGGAATGCGGGGACTCGTCTCGAAAGAGCTGCTTCAAAAGAGGACTTTCACCGTGTCGTAATGCTCTTGTTGGCAATTACCTACCTAGACTGCTTACGGACCAATCAACGTTGGAAGGAGAGCCCACTAATAAGCGAGGCACGTTCCTCTCGTGTCTAGCTCATGTGAAACTAAATTCCGGAGATTTGTTCGTGGAGGTTCCTCGAAAGAGGATCTGAGAGCAAAATGGTCGCAGCTTTGGTGTAAATCCAATGTTTTTAACCACCAAACTCATACTTTTTCGTGCTGTATCTCTACTTATTCCACGTCTAAATATCTTAAGCATGCTATGAGGTAAGAGCGTTTCAGTATCTCTTTCTTTTACATCAACAATAGATATTATAGCTAAAGAATATAAAAATATCAACATGGGTAACTTGTTCGGTTTTGCTGAATTTTCGCTGATTTTTGCCAAAAAAACTTTCGACTTTGTAAAGTGGGGTCCAAAAAGTCACCCTTTTCAACGCTGTATCTTGCACATTTATAAGAATTTAATATATTTAAATAAAATAGTACTATTCCATGCACTGTTACAAGCTTCACTAGCTGCCAAGGCGTTAGATTATTGGTTGATCCGGCCCAGAACTTTAGTAGCTTTAGTAATTTTCGGGTCCAGGGTTGCAGGCACAAAATCTTTATTATTTCCGCGCTTTTTGGAGTCTCTGGATGGCATATATTTGGCTTGTTTTAACGCTATTCAAATCGCGATTAACATTTTGTGTAGAAAATTTCATGTTCCAGGGCCGGATTAACCAATGATTTAGGGCCTTGGCAGTTGGCGGAGCGGGTGCGTGTACAAGGGGGTAATCCAGGCCTCGCTTACAGTTTTCGCGCTACGCCTGAACTGGCAATCTTGCTCAACGTATACCATGAAAGGCCCTTCCTTCGCCGTTTTTTATTCTCCATCCTTTTCACCTTTTTCTTTCTACTCTCCCTCTAACTCCCTTCTCCTTACTTACCTTCCATCCGTACCAGCCGCTCCTACCGCTACCATCGGGTCTTAATCATGCATGGTGAAGCATTTTTTCAAACCTTGCCGCAGCTCTTGCTTTGTTTCTGACTCTCCTTCCTTTGCTCTGTCCAGCTTTCGTGCACCCTAAGCGCTACTAGAAGCTGCTTCTAGACTTGATCTAAAGGCGATTTGTAGACCATACGCTTCTCTTTTTCTCTCTCTCCCTCTCTCTTTCACACTCTTACCCTCCTCCCCAACTTTTACCTTCTCTTCTCGCGCGAGTCGCAGTTA